ACGGGTGAAGTGTCTTGCCCAAGGACACAACGACCGAGACTGTCCGAGCCGGGGCTCGAACCGGCAACCTTCCGATTACAAGGCGAGCTCCCAACTCTTGATCGTCCTAATGGAATCCGACAAGAAAGCCTAATTCGGTTGTGAAGTGATGATGTATGAAACCTGCTTCTGGGTGTAAACTACTCTGCGTTTATTAAGGCTGTTGTGTTTTTAACATGTTTTAATGTTTTCCAACATCTTGTTCTGTGTAATCTGAACAAGCTGTAATCCACAGAGAAATATATCTGGTACATAACATGCTGTAACACCGATGATAACTTTCCTTAAAAAGCTGGCATGCGATTATATGTGGCTATTATTAGTTACTTTGTATGTTTGAGTGAGCATCAGAGGTTTTAAACTTGAAACTTCTCACTCTCTGTAAAAATACCAACAGCTTTGTGAAAAATGCTGTTGTGGTACAGTTTGTGCCATGCCCACTGGTTTCCACTGGCTTTTAGTTACTTCTTGTTTTATTTCTTCAGTGTACCTCACTGTTCTCCTGTATTTTATTATTTTATTATTTTTTTCAAATTACTGATTTTTTTCAGACAAATGTATCTGACACAGATGATGGAGTATTTGCCTTCATGAAACAGCACTAAAGATTACAATCATAACTGCGTATATGCTTTATACCTTTTGTGCTTAGAAATCAGATTAGCTGGTCATCAATCTGGTCTTTGCTCTGGAAGAGTTGAAATCTCCTACAACAACAGATGGGGAACAGTCTGTGATGATGGCTGGGGCCTTAATGATGCTGAGGTGGTTTGCAGAGAATTAGACTGTGGGAAAGCACTGAGTGCTCTTCGATCATCTCACTTTGGTGAAGGAACAGGAGAAATCTGGCTGGATGATGTGTCCTGTTCAGGAAGTGAAAGTTCTCTAACTAAGTGTGGGCACAAAGGATTTGGGACACACGACTGTACACACCAAAAGGACGCTGGTGTCATCTGTTCAGGTGAGATACATTCAAGACCATCTAGACCAGGGGTCCCCAATCTCAGTCCACGAGGGCTGGTGTCTCTGCAGGTTTTAGATCTCATCCTGGGTCAACACATCTTAATCACATGATTAGTTCATTACCAGGCCTCTGGAGCACTTCAAGACATGTTGAGATGGTAATTTATCCATTTAAATCAGCTGTGATGGATCAAGGACACATCTAAAACTTGCAGGGACACCGGCCCTCGTGGACTGGGATTGGGGACCCCTGGTCTTGACAGTACCAAATGTAATCAAACATTTTTGTTCTTTTCTTCTACAACTTCATCATTATTATTCATTTGTCAGTGAGTTTTTGAACTAAAATTCATGGTGAGCACCAGCTGATTAGTTGCAATAACCATACTGTGTAGCATTAAGTACTAACATGTTCTACTATGAATGCAGCTGTAATTCAAAGATAAATCGTACTTTAAACCTTCCAATATATTTGTCTGAAAAACTAAAGTTGGACTATGTGCAGCTTTTGTCATTTGCATCATTAATTGTGTGCTTGAGTACATTTGATATAATTAAAAAATACTGTGTATTCTGTTTAAAGTGGATGTTCCTTCTTTTTTGTGTTTAGATGCAAGGATCAAATTAACTGGTTCTGGTTCAGCTCGTTGCTCTGGAAGAGTTGAGATCTACCATCAAAAAAGATGGGGAACAGTCTGTGATGATGGCTGGGACTTAAATGATGCTGAGGTGGTCTGCAAACAGTTAGACTGTGGGACAGCTTTAGCAGCTCCTAAAGAGGCTCATTTTGGTGATGGAAGTGGACCGATCTGGCTTGATGATGTGTCCTGTTCTGGAAATGAAAGGTTTATAATCCAGTGTCAGCACAGAAGATCTGGGGAAAACAGCTGTACACACAATAAAGATGCTGGTGTCATCTGTTCAGGTACATCTTTAATCATCAACAGCGTTATCATTAACTCACAGTAGTTTTGTCAGTGTGTGTTTAGTATCAACATTCAGGGTGAGCAGTGGAAATGAACTCTTAAAGTAACCAAACTGTGCCACCTAATTAGCTTGGAAAGAAAAGTGATTGGAAGGTTCCTGAAGATGTTCTGCCTCTCATTCAAGAAGCTTTTTCTGTTCTATGACCAAATAATGGAGAGTCCCAGGTTTTTAAGTTCTAGTGGGAGTTGTCCCTTAAGAGTCTTGAAGAAGTGAAGAGTGAGACCACATCAAGTTTCATCTGGATTCTTTGGATCCAGTGTAAGTTTCTGGACCTTTCCATTGGTGTCAGTCAATGCTCTTAAAATATGTGGTTTTCCCAATTGGGCTTTCATCAAACTGGCAAAGATGCACAGGAAAGAAGGTCAAACACCAACTAGGAAGAAACAGAATGACAAACGGAACAACATGTAGCAGGTTGATCAGAGAAACTCAGGAAGACTCAGAAGAGTCTTCTTTATGCACAATATCCAACTCCACTTCAAACCCAAACTAGCAGTGCTCAGACTTCTAAATTGGAGAAACCAAACAGGCACTTCATAAATGCATGGCACAACATTGAAGAGGCACCTCGACAAGACAAGACTCAGCTATACATCTGCATCTAAAGGATAAATGTCACTCTCTCAGGATGCCAATTTTCACATTTTGGACAGAGAAGACAGATGGTTTGAAAGAGGAGTGAAAAAAGCCTTCTATGTCCACTGTGAATGACCATCCTTGAACAGCTAACGACACAAACCATCTGCCTCCTGGACTTAGAACTGAAGAAGCTTCTCAAATGAGAGAAGAAACGTTTTCAAGAAACTTTAAAAAGTCCAGTGCCTTTTCTTTCCAAACTCCTTGGATTACCATGACCTGGATGATTGAGAACCTAAACAGCCATGCTGTGCCATATTCAGTAATAAAATGTCCCCCTGTAAATGTAGCTGTATTCTACAGAGATATATGTTGATAGGTTTGTAGCTTGAACCTATTCGCTGGAACGTTGAAGGCAATATAATTACACAGCAAGCAAGACACGAAGTAGGCAAAGTTCTTCATGTTTCTCGTGCACGGGAGAGAACCGGACAAACGCCGTTCCTTCGCTTGACCCCAGTTGCTCTCGTCCGTTCTCCCGTAACACTGCTCTTTTATTGAGGTTACATGAATATGCATAGGTTCATTAACATATGACGTCTACATACACACAAAGAGTACCTTGCCTGTGTGTGTGTGTGTGTGTGTGTGTGTGTGTGTGTGTGTGTGTGTGTGTGTGTGGTGTGTGTGTGTGTGTGTGTGTGTGTGTGAGGTCAAGATGTGACCCTGTGAAGACTCCCCAAAGCTGGTGCCAGGAGTCTAGCGGGTCCATCTGAACAAAAGGCTCTTATACTTAAAGAGATATACGTGTGTTTGCTATATCAACAAAGAGAAGATACGACCTCTCCTAGGAGGTGTGTAATCTATGCCAGAACACTCTGTAGAGGAGTGAACGCACTCCCCTCTTCATGCTACACAGAGTTGTTACAGACCTCCTAGGATGAGACATTCTTTCAATCTACAAATGATTATATACTTCCAAGCATATATGATTAAATATTTCTAAGCATAAATGACAATCAACAATACAAAACCTAACATGTGTTTTTTTCTATCATCCTTTTAAACTGCTAATTCTTAAAAAGAAAAACGTCTGTCTGTGTGGAGCTCCAGCCATTTATTTCTCCACTGTGAGTTTGAGTGCGCTTCAGATGAGTCTCACAAAGATGTTCAAATAGTTGCTGTTCTAAACAATAAATAGAAAAAATATTGCATTTGTTTTGTGTTCAGGTGGACCCATCAGATTACCTGGGTCCATCCTTTGCTCTGGAAGAGTTTAACTATATCACAAGCTCATTTATATTCTACTTTTTTGTTTTCAGTGACCCAAACTCACCCTTATTTGCTTCTTTGACTTTAATGAATAAAAAATAAGAAAATAAATTAGAAACACAGTCTAATCTTGTCTTTTTTTGCTAGGTGATCAGATAAGATTAGTTAATCCAGATACATCTGAGTCAGCTCATTGCTCTGGAAGAGTTGAAATCAATCACAGGAACAGATGGGGAACAGTCTGTGATGATGGCTGGGACCCAAATGATGCTGAGGTGGTCTGCAGAGAGTTAAACTGTGGAACTGCTCTGAATGCCACTAAGTCCGCTCATTTTGGTAAAGGAACAGGACAAATCTGGCTTGATGATGTGGACTGTTCAGGAAGTGAGAGATCTCTGACTGAGTGTCAGCACAGAGGATTTGGGATACATAGCTGTACACACAGTAAGGATGCTGGTGTTGTCTGTTCAGGTAAGAAACATTACTAATCAAAGGCAAATATGTAATAATTAAGGTTACAATATTTGTACAGTTTTAGATTTGAGCCATTGTTTCATGTGGTCTATGTATATCTACCTCTGTATTTATGTGGGATCCATGAGGTATATTTCAATTGACACTATTGGATTTGTCACTTCCCAGTTGAAAGTTTTTTGTTGTTGTTTTTCTTTTTAATTTAACTTCAGATATGAACATACTGCATGCACAGTCCTCATTGTGGTTCATACTAAATCTCTGGCAATGTTGAACAAGTGTTAGCATGAAGCAATTCAATGAATCTGTCCCGTTAGTATTTTTTTTATAATTCATAATCAGTTCAGTGTGTACACTGAGCAAAGGATTGCAGGTTTGGATTGTTTTAATTTCTGAAATTAATTGTGTTTGTTTACTGTGCCCAGGTGTGCCAGTCAGATTATCTGGAAGCACTTTGTGCTCTGGAAGAGTTGAAATCTTTTACAACAACACTTGGGGAACAGTCTGTGATGATAACTGGGACATAAATGATGCTGAGGTGGTTTGTAGAGAGCTCGGCTGTGGAACGGCACAGAGTGCTGCTGTCTTTGGTGAGGGAAGTGGATCCATCTGGCTTGATGATGTGTCCTGTTCAGGAAGTGAGAGATCTCTGACTGAGTGTCAGCACAGAGGATTTGGGACACATGACTGTACACACAGTCAGGATGCTGGTGTTGTCTGCTCAGGTGAGAAGTGATTTTTTGTAAATACTAAAAATTATAAATATAACAAGATAAAACTGTTGTCATTATTGTTACACACGCTGTCTCTCTGTGATTTCTGTTTTCCTCAGTGATCCTCCCAAAGCCCAGAATCTTCATGATTCCTGCTGGTAAAGTTGATCGGAGAAGTGATGTCAGCATCACATGTTCAATATCACCTCAAAGCCAACAGCTTCTACAAGGAGAATTTACTCTGAGGCAGATTTCAGGCTCATTCAGTCAGACAAAACCATCAACTACCAACTCTGCTACATTCAAGATCCTCAAAGTAGATTTTGACAGTGATGGATTGTACCAGTGTGAATATTCACACGACTCCAGCATCTCCACAAGTGACTCTGTCAACGTCTCCGTTACTGGTAATAAAATGTAATATTGTTTAAATTACAGTCATAAAGTGACAGTGAAAATATTGTGTTTACTTGTTACGCCCACTACAGGTTATTATAATGAAAATATAAAATTTTTTAATATAAGAAGTAAAGTATGTATTTCAATGATTTATCAATTGATTAATTCAATTCAATTCAATTTTATTTATATAGCGCCAAATCACAAAAAAAGTCGCCTCAAGGCGTTTTATATTGTACAGTAGATTGCACAATAATAGATACAGAGAAAAACCCAACAATCATATGACCCCCTATGAGCAAGCACTTTGGCGACAGTGGTAAGGAAAAACTCCCTTTTAACAGGAAGAAACTTCCGGCAGAACCAGGCTCAAGGGAGGGGCGGCCATCTGCTGCGACCGGTTGGGGTGAGAGAAGGAAAACAGGATAAAGACATGCTGTGGAAGAGAGACAGAGGTTAATAACAGATATGATTCGATGCAGAGAGGTCTATTAATACATAGTGAGTGAGAAAGGTGACTGGAAAGGAAAAACTCAATGCATCATGGGAATCCCCCGGCAGCCTACGTCTATTGCAGCATAACTAAGGGAGGATTCAGGGTCACCTGGTCCAGCCCTAACTATATGCTTTAGCAAAAAGGAAAGTTTTAAGCCTAATCTTAAAAGTAGAGATAGTGTCTGTCTCCCGAATCCAAACTGGAAGCTGGTTCCACAGAAGAGGGGCCTGAAAACTGAAGGCTCTCCCTCCCATTCTACTTTTAAATACTCTAGGAACAACAAGTAGGCCTGCAGAGCAAGAGCGAAGTGCTCTAATAGGGTGATATGGTACTACAAGGTCATTAAGATAAGATGGGGCCTGATTATTTAAGACCTTGTATGTGAGGAGCAGGATTTTGAATTCAATTCTGGATTTAACAGGAAGCCAATGAAGGGAAGCCAAAACAGGAGAAATATGCTCTCTCTTTCTAGTCCCTGTCAGGACTCTTGCTGCAGCATTTTGGATTAGCTGAAGGCTTTTCAGCGAGTTTTTAGGACATCCTGATAATAATGAATTACAGTCGTCCAGCCTGGAAGTAATAAATGCATGAACTAGTTTTTCAGCGTCACTCTGAGACAGGATATTTCTAACTTTAGAGATGTTGCACAAATGGAAGAAAGCAGTCTTACATATTTGTTTAATATGTGCGTTGAAGGACATGTCCTGGTCAAAAATGACTCCAAGGTTCCTCACAGCGTTACTGGAGGCCAAGGTAATGCCATCCAGAGTAAGAATTAGTACCAGCAACACTCAACAGTCACTCCTCAGTCACCTCTTAGAGTGCACACACATTAAGTGAATAAACACATTCTATTTATAATAACTGCTAACCATGAATCTATGCATGAATTTTGTGTCTGACTGGAGTCTGACCTGAGTGAGCTTTAATAGATAATTGTTAAAGAGAATTTAGTTCCAAACAAAGGTGGGATTAAGTGTTAATAAAAACAGAATGCAATGATCTGTGAATCTCATAAACATAGAAAACACATCACATGTTTACACTGAGACCATTTCAATAAAAAATATTCACTCAGTCTGAATTTGATGGCAACAAATCTCAAAAACATGGACAGGGTCGTGTTTACCACTGTGTAGCATCCACTCTTACTTTAACAACAGAACATAAACAACTGAGGAGACAAGCTGCTGGACTTACGGGAAACAAATGTTGGCCAGACTGAGGATTCAAGCTGCTCAACAGTCTCGACTCCTGTTTATCATGCTTTTATTTGATCCGTCAAAAAGGTCTGAAATGCAGAAAGGCCAGTTCACCACCAGGACTCTTCTACTATGAAGCCATGTTGTTATAATAGATGAGACTCACTCCCACTGTGCAAAGTGACGTCTTTTATAAGTCATTTTTGGACTTCCAATTTTGGTCAGGTGTTTTTTTGTTTTGTTTTTTACCTCTGATGAATGCATAGATTTGACTCCATGTACGGGCTATTTATAGTCCAAATGTGATCATTGTGGACATCTTTTCAAAAACAAACTTAGACTCAGTGTCATTTTTATAATGCTTCTACGTGTACAGCCTCTTTAGTCTCATGTTTTAAGAGGGTGGAGGGTATGTTTTCTGGACAGAAACAGTTATATGTGAAGGAATGCAGAGTGATCAGTGGACATCTGAAAGATGGTGCAGCCTCCTGAGCTAAAACAAAAGTGAGCAGCTGCACAGTGGATTTGGAGCAGAAAGCTTCTCACAGAAACTTTGCAAAATGTGCGCATTGTTGAGTGGATAGTTCACATACCAGTGATGGCACGTTTCAACCTGACGTTCCAGTGTTCCAGATTAACTGGTGTCGCGAATTAACTGGTGACAGAGAGTAGTGTATTTCCCTTGGGTAGGAGGGATCCTGGAGGAGGGTCATCACACGGCGGGTGGACAGTGGATCCGGTGAGGCCTCCACATGATGGTATTTCATGACGCCGGCTGAAACGGCCCGAAGAGCAAACTGAGCTTTGACGTGCATGAACCACAAAGGAGGGTTGTGAAGCCAAAAATCCGGCAGCTTAAAACGTACAGCTCTGCTATCCATCCTGATTACCAGTCTTGGTAGCTGGACATCGGTCCTCCAGGATCTACACTTCTGGCTGCAACCCGGCTCACAATGCACCCGACCCCTGCAGTGCCTCCTCCGGGTGGTGAGCCTGCATTAAGATGGGCCCATGTCCCTTTTTCAGGTTGTGCCTGGCCGGATCCTGACAAGGATTCCTCCTGGGCGCCTCCTGGGTGAGGTGTTCTGGGCATGTCTTATTGGGAGGAGGCCCCGGGGCAGAGCCAGGACATGCTGGAGCAATTATATCTCTCGGCTGTCCTGGGAACGCCTTGGTTTTCCC